AAAATGCAGGTTACCCTATAAAAAAAAGGGAGCAACAAACCACAATAATTTGCCAGAACAGTTTTAATTGAGATCTCTGAAGTTATGTTTGTGCTGTGTGTTGATGTGCTAAATTTGCTAGAAAATTTTGAAGACTTAAAATTCCCACATGAAAGAGCTAATCCACATTTTCATGAAAGTTTACTTGCTTTATGTCTATCTTATGTTATGAACTAATAGCCAACATAATCTTCTATTCAGAAACTAAGGCGGAGGGGGGGGAGGGGGGCAGCGCAGTTATATACACACAAAAGGCATTTTATATCGAAACTGTCTATCCCCATTCCACTTTCATATCTCTGAGAGCCAAAAAAGATTTTCCTTTAATTTTGCTCAGGGAAAAAAGTCCTCCCCAGCCTAAGATCTTGTATGTCAAATCTAATCTCACAGTGAATTATAAACTGCTGATAATAAGGCTTTATATTAATGGAAGCATGGTTATAGTCCTCGCTATAATATCCTATCTCTGGTTTCAATTATACTTTGCACAATGCAATATATCTTCAGGAGTATCTCATGTAATTAATCAGGTAGTGGTGTAATCCAGGCTAGAATAAGGAGAAAACCAGGCATTTATGGTTTTACAGAGACAGAGAGGGATTTTATTAGTCATTTAGTGAGAGCAGCTCTTTCCTGGTGCCAGCAAGTTAGTGCATGGTGTATTCTATTTTTGCCCCTCAGTGAGCAGAGTTTAAAGTTTCTCTGGAATTACAGAGAAGCTATACATGATTAGCACAAAGTAAAATTGATTTAAAGTAAATTACTACTGCAGAGATTTATCAATTAAGATCAAAGAGCTGTAGAAGTCAGAGATGGAAAAAAAATTTTCAGATCATCTTTTCTACCAACGAAAGAACATTTTCTACAATGTATTTCTCTAATACATATTCAAAATTCACTTTCAAGACTAGAGTGAGGTGTTTCCACTGTTTCCCTTAAAAGATTATTTTGTAGTTATATAAACTTTCTTTATTCCCAACAGCATCTCTGAAATTTCCTTTTTCTTCTTCTATTTTTTCTGCATTACAACTATTCAGATTTTTCTCATACCAGCTTTGTTTATCAGTGTTTATTTCCTTCTAAGGTTTCTGAACAACCTCTGTGCTCCTCTTCCAGAGCCAAAGTTTAAACAAGCTGTATCACTCTTCTATTATTTCCTCTTGATCTAATGTCATTAATTCTTTAAAAGTACTTTTTGCTGCTCTTCTCTGAAATCTCCCCAGTTTACAGGCATGATTTGGCTTCTGTCAGTGTAGAGCACCAACGCAACTCACTGGAGTTTTTCAGAAAGGGCTATTCATACCCTTTCCTATTTAAATGGAGACTTGACCCCTTTTTTTTGCAGCATTTTTAATTGTGCATGGATTGCAGTTCAGTTACCCATAGCCCTCGGCTTTTTCAGAATTATCCCAGATAACTCCCTGATGCTGAGTAATTGGATGAGTCTTCGACTTTTTAGGCACCCCTTTGATTATTTACTCTTGGAGGTCTCCAACATTAGGGCTCTTCAGCTTGGAGAGCACATGACTGCATAGTGAAGAGAGAATGATTATTTGTATTTCTTATAACAGAAAAACAGGAGCATCAAAGGAAATGGCAAAGGGAAGAACAACATGATTTCCTGTGTCATGTTATACATATTTAAATTGTGGAATTCACTACCTCAGCACATTTTGGATGTCAAAATTAGGAATAATTCTAAAACATCATTAGACTAACAGAATAATGTAAAAAGGTGTTATTAAGCTCAACAGAGTCAGCTGCTCCCAAGGAAATTCCTAAACTACTGAAGAACTAGGGAGGATATTGCAGCAGAAATGTCACTTTATACGTGCCCTTCTGTGTAGCTTTCCTGAAGCATCACTGCAGAACCTGGTCAAATACAAAATACTAAATGAAGCAAACCATATATATTATCCTTTACAGTTGTTTTTTATTCACCAGCTTCCAGACTAATTTTTTCGATGGCTAAAATCATTCTCAGTTTTGCAGGTGGGTAAAAGGAACAGCATTTTGACAAGAAACATACTGGTGTGACCAGTTCAGCAGCTCATTTGATGTAAGAGATATTTTTTCCTCTTACTCCACTTCACTCAGCTGCTGGCTTTCATTGATTTAAATTGGAGAATGAGCCAGATGTTTGACTTCTGAAAGCATTTAGGTGTGTGTGGGAAACCCATTTCTCTCAGCCAAAAGAGACACAACAAGTAAACATCACTTAAGAAAAATGTATGTATACAATCACAGTTGTGATTTGCATGTTTTAAGCTTGTTGCATATCATACAGAAACTAGGGGTATTTAGTAAAATGACAACTTCCAACTGGGACTGAAGGAAACTTCCATCCTCATAAATCAAGATTGCCAGTGGCTTCATGCTTCTGAATATGCTCCCGCTCTCAAAAAATAACGCTGCAGCCATTTCAAGGCAACGATGTAGTAGCCAGCAGAACCTGGTCGTGTACCTAGTGGTGTCAGTGACAATACTGCAGATGACTTTCAGTGATACAGGATCACATTCATAACCAGCACCCTTTGTTTTTCACACACTTGCAGAACTTCACTCCTACTGTTAGGACCTGTGGCAGTTGCATTCTTTTTATGTCTTCGGAGAATAGGCTCTGAAAGCACTCATGCTGTATTTCACTGTATGCAGCCATAGAAAAAAGTGAAGCACAAGCACAGAACAGATGTCCTTTACTATATAAGTTTAAAATAAATGTGTTTGCGAGAGATTCTTGTTTAGCCCTAGAAAAATCCTCACTGAGATAAACCTCTGGTATGACCTGTTTGCACATAACTGGTGTGATCTAACAGCAAAATTGCAATAGTTACCTCTTTCTGACAATAGCACAGTTAAATATGTTGCAGTCTATTAGATATGTCTTTTTACCATGTAAACAGTGATAGAGTTGTCTGGCTGCAGAATCTAATAATCCAGCTATGCCAGGAATATTTTCACCGTGGTCAAGCAGACTTAAGAGAAAATACAAATGCTTGAATTTTATAAATCACAGTATCTAGCAAAGTGTACCTTTCTTCCTAGATTTCCCATGTTTTCACCTAGGGTTCTCAGTGAGATGGTTCAATGATAACAGGTTTATTACTGAATTGTAGTTTAAAAATAGCTTTTTCAAACATTTTTCAAAGCTATTCCTGTAAACTTCACCTTACTATCTGCTGTACAAGTTTCTTGTACAGAGAGCCTTTATGGTGGTAGATGTGCTCTAATTGCACCTTAAAAATAGATCCTTCCTTGTTAGAAATACATAGATTTCTTCAGGTGCAGATTTCCCGTGGAATGACAAAGGCCTATGTGAAAGGTACACTTGTACCATGGTCCCGTTAATATGAGTGAGAAGTAAGAATTTAGCTACTTTAAGAATTTGAGCATAACATCCTCATATTTTTCTTACTTCCAAGACCTTTGTTGTTTCCATATTTTCATGATACTTATTTTTGCAGAATTGTTTAATTTATTTTTAAATATTCTTTTTAAAGTGTGCTAGGTTAAATCAAGCCTTGCTGATTAAAGATAGCTTGTCCAAAGCTTGTTGTTAGTGGTTGTTTTAACTGTATTATAGACCATTCTTTTATATTGCCTCCCAGCTCTTTAGGCATCAGAGTGTGTCAACAGCATTACAGCAATCTTCCTCATATTATTGTGGATTGGAGCATTGAAATTTTACCACAAAACCAGGCCATATGTCACAAAGTGGTATTATCAAGGGCTTAGAGACCAAACATTTTGTGCTTTCCACAACTGAAAGACTTGTAAAATTATTTCTTTCAATTGCAAAAAACATTACAGCTTACTAAAACCTTCATGCTTGTTAAACCAAATAAAATCAAAGTCTAATGAAGTCAGTAACATTATTCATCTTGACTTAATGGGTTTGATTTCTCTCTCACTGCAGAAATTAGGTGCGATTTGAAAAGGTTCGTCCACCATGACTTAAAGCTATCTTATCCTCCCACAAAAATTAGGGTTAAATTATAGCAGCAAGCCTTTTTCTTTTCTTAGGGTACTTTTCTTTTCCTTTAATTCTCCTTCCTGAAGGGGAATGTATTTTTCCTTTCCATTCACATGCACTTTGCACTCTTTTTTTCAGCTCTTCCAACCGCTGTTTCAACATCTCTTTAGTCTATTGCAAGCCATTCAGTTTCCAACCTTAGGAGAAAAAAGATATTTGTATCTCTTCTTTATAATATTTCTGGTTCTTTCTGATATAATTTGAGTTTATAATTGGTGTCATTTAGAATCTGTAAAAAACTCTGTGCTAAATTATTTATGATATCTCTAAGCAATCATTTTCTGTTGCATTGTATACAAGTGATTACTTCACTAGTAAATCATTCTTGCTTTATATCAGATGCTTTGAATCAGATTTTTCATAAGTGTAAAACAAAATCATTGCTTTCTCCATCCAGATTGTCATTGCAAACAAACAAGCTGAAGCTATGGAAAGTTTAGATGACTTTGGCTTGATTTTGCTATCAGTTATTCCATCAAAATCAATGGAGTTGTACCAATGTAAGCCTGATGTAGGAAAGAATAAATTGCTGTATACCTATAAAAATCCAAATCATAGGTACATATAGATAGCTGTGTAAAAAGTATAAATGTGATGGTAATTTGGAAATACCAGCGGAAGTATAGAAATAGGCATATTTTATACACCAACAGTTCAATTACATGCAAATTACATGCACATTTTGCATCCCAGTGAAATGCAGTCTGGTTTACTTCACAGAAAATAATATGATACTGGTCTAATAAATTGTATGCAAAATCATACATTAATCTTAAATTATCAAGATAAAATCTACAACCTCTCACAGAATACCTAATATATATCTGATAGGAAAACAAGACTGTTATTTAGAGTCATTAATATGATTTGGTGAATAGTCCCCTTGTTAATGCAACCTCTTTTTTCTTTCTTTTTTACTGCTTAATAGAGAAGAAAATCACGTTATTCGGACCTTGACTTTGAAGTAAGTTTTACTGAATTATTCCTGGTTATTAAAAGTATTTTCCTAAAAGTAAATGTGAAGTGTTCATTTAGCAGATTTTAATCTTCTGACATAGTAGATGTCATAGGGTTGTTCAACTGGTACTGTACAGAACATGACAAGCAATTCATTAAAACTACTTTGGTGCAACTTGTTTGTAAAATACTCTGAGATCAAACTGTCATATTGCAATATTAACCATCATAGTTTCAGTTTTTAAATTCTCTGCCTCTTCATTTTCATCTGTTTTTTCTTTTTTCTTTTTTTTTTTTTTTTTTGTTCTGCTGACTATCTAGCTATTGAAAACCAGTGACACTCCTGTAGGACAGGCCACACTGTCACAGAAGGTTGTTTTGTTTAAGAGATTCTCAATCTCTATCTCTCTTTCTTCAATACTAATTTACTGGCATATGAATTTCACATCCAATGTGTCAAATTTTGAATGATGAAGTGCTGCAGTTGCCAAAGCTTATGGATCACATGCTATATAAAAAATCAAGTTCATGTAAGGTTCTTTAGGTTGGATATCTACAATTTCAGGCTTGGACCCCATTGAATGAGAAGGTCTGGTTGCGTTAGTTAATGACCATTTTGTTCTATCTCAGTCAGTATGATTAAGTCTCTCAGAGTTTTGATAATTTGAGGGTTTTTTTCCTCTACTCTCTACCAGAAGAAATACAGCAGTTAGTTTTCAAAGGGATGTTAATAATTTATGTATTTGGGGTTTTTGCATAGGTTGTCTGTTAACGCATGTTAATAGTTTGATATAATTAATTATGTGTGTCTCCAGAGAAGTTGAACAATCATAATATTTGTATGGAACCTACAGATCTCAGGCTAAACTTTAACATCCAGTGATCAGAATATATAAACCATAACTTTAAAAATCACCCTGTCTGTTTGCATTTGCAAACAAAAGCATTTTTTATTATTTTGGGGCTGTAAGCACAGTGCATGTACTTTCAGATTTCAGATTCTAGTCTGTAGAAAAGAAAGAGGCAGAACTAGCAAAATGCAGACATAGCAATGGTCATAGAAGCCTTGCAGTGAGAGAAGGGTTTACTTTGGTGACCTGCTTTTGCTAAAATGCTGACCTTCCATGTCCAGTTGTGGGGGTTTTGTAGTTTAACATCACACTGTAATCAATTATGTCATTTTCCCCCGGAGACCATAGCTACCCTAAGCAGTCATGTAATATCTCAAATAAAGCGCCAGACAAAGATTCATAGAAAGTTTAAGGAAAAAAAAAATGAAAACGTTATCCTAAATATGCTTTAGGATAAATGCCTAGGAAGGAAGAAGAAAAACATGAATCGATAACAAAATTCTGATGAACAAGCAATCCTAAAATTAAATGCAAACAACATGAACAGAAGCTTTATAATTATAACGATATAAAGAATTCTGAATTTTACTGGTTTTTATTGAAAGGTAGGAATATCATGCTATTCACAGTAAGAACATCTTCTATGGAAACATATAATAAAACATTCCTCTTACCACTCAGGAGAGCATAACCCAACACCAAATAAACACCAACAATGCTGTACACATTCTGCTGCCAAGAATCAGACCTCCCTTTACATATTCTCTTTCGACTGACATAGTGTATTCAAGATGCTTATACCTTTTTCTTATCTTGTTTGCAGCGTTGTTTCTCCATGGCCCAATATTTTTAGAAGTATGATTATAATGCAGGAAAACACATTTGTCTGTACAAAGGGAAGGATGGGGCCATTAGGAGCGACTGTTGAGAAAGCAAGTGCAACAGTGATACTGTGCCGGTTGCTGCTGTGTTTTAGAACTACTGACTCAGACTAACCCCATCTCATCTCCCTGTTTTATGGTTCCCCTGATTAAGCCTGTGGGCTTTCCTATGTTCTTACACAGAGCATGACTGCCTGTCTGAGGGAAAGCAAAATAAAAAAGCCATAAAATGTTCAAATAGCCACCCAGATTCCTTTGCTCAGCAAGGCATACTGATGAAGGGAATTGAGATAGTGTTGTGTGGCCAAAACACTGCTATTCTGAAACTTCAAAGCAGCCTGAGTGCAAAACAGAATGAGCCTGGAAGTGAGGTCAAGCTAGAAAGATTGGCCGTACTACTTAAATGTTTAACACTTTCTCTGCTTTGTCTGTGACCAGTGCCAGCTGGCACTCTGAAAACAATGTCCTTCCACAGTTCAGAGGATAACAAATGTTACAGATGTGGTTCTGAGGATAACAAATGCTGAATACAAAGTATGGACAAGACTGTGTCAAGCTTGGCTCCCTCCTTCCTTTTCCTTTTAACACTCTCCCAGCAGTCTCTACCCCCTCAACCTCTCACACATGACTCTCTATATCCATACAATACAAACCCTCAAGCTATGCCCATCTTACTACATTAGACATTTGGGGGAATATTCCTGGGTGCTAAAATGCCAGGTTTTATACTGATGATTTTTTAGAATGATCTTCAGTATTTTAGTCTGGACCACCCTTGTCTCTCCAAACAGTTCCTTAAATATCCTTGGGGAAAACCTGGGTACCATTCGCAACAGGCAATTTGGTTGTAGGCTTCTTATTTTGGTAGCTGTTTAGCAGCAATCATGGAGAATGTTCAATGCTAGGTGATGCCAGAGAATGATCATGGACATGTTTGACTTACTACTGTAGAGTCACAGTTTCAGAGTTTAAAACAACAACAACAAAAAAGACTGTGCTAGTGAGCTGCAATGCAACACTAACCTTAATATAGATAATTTGAAGTAAAAACAAAGAAACACAAGAAAAGCAATTTTTTTCTGAGGAGCACAGATGAAACTCAAAGCCAGTGCTATGTAATGTGAACACAGCCAAACTATGACTGTACTCAACACCATAGAATATTCTCTGTCCCTCTTATCTCCAATGTATGGGGAAATACAGATGTAGTTTTAAGGGCCTTGGCAGTGGACTTTAAATAGTAATAGTCCTGTGACTGTGCTGGGTAGTGTTATAGAAAATGTATGTCTCCAGTTGAAGGAAAGGGAGTAAGAAAAAGATGGCATCCAAACTGGCCAGCCCTCATCATAGCTGGTTAGAGAGGATGCTCTCAAGAACTGGGCCACCTGTATCTTGTTTTCCTTTTTTAAATGGTTTAACATTACATTCTTAAATTATCCCTTTATGCAGAAAAAAGAAGACAGACTGTAACATAGTGGATTTAGTCTGTAAGCAGAAAGTATTTCTGCTAGGTAATATACTGTCCATTATTAGATTTTGCAAAACACATCTAGTTGAACTTTGAAGTTTGCTAATATGAACAGTCAACATGCAACAACTTTACAGCTCTTTTCTTGCTATTACCAAAGATTAGTTTAGACTTATTCATGTAGTCCAGTATCCAAACCATGACCAAAATTCACAGGTCTGAGCTTTTTGGATCCTTACTACTGCTGCCTGTGATGCCCTCCAACCCTAGTCATTATGTTCTGTTTTTCCCCAAAGCTGGACAGGTAGTTTTTTCATGAAGACTCAGCACTAATACTCAGCTGTCAGATCAAATAAAATTCATTTTAATTATATTGAACAGTAATACAGATGCTGTGGAAATTCCTAGGAGGACTTTATAATACGTGTGCACTGACACTTACAAAAACATACAGGAGAGTTAAATGGTATTATTGACATAGAATCACAGAATCGTTCAGGTTGGAAAAGACCCTTAAGATCATCAAGTCCAACCTTTAATGTAACACTACCAAATTCACCAATAAACCATGTGCCTAAGCGCCACATCTATGCATCTTCTAAATACCTCCAGGGATGGGGCCTCAACCGTTTCCCTGGGCAGCCTGTTCCAATGCTTGACAACCCCTTCAGTGAAGAAATTTTTCCTAACGTCCAATCTAAACCTTCCCTGGCACAATTTGAGTCTGTTCTCTCTTGTGCTATCACTCGTTACTTGGGAAAAGAGACCGACACCCACCTCACTACAGCCTCCTTTCAGGTAGTTGTAGAGGGTGATAAGGTCTCCCACAAACCTCCTTTCCTCCAGACTAAACAACCCCAGTTCACTCAGCCGCTCCTCATAAGACTTGTGCTCCAGACCCTTCACCAGATTCGTTGCCCTTCTTTGGACACACTCCAGCACCTCAAGGTCTTTCTTGTAGCACAGGGCCCAAAACTGAACACACTATTCAAGGTGCGGCCTCACCAGCACCGAGTACAGGGGCAAGATCACTTCCTTACCTCTGCTGGCCACACTATTCCTGATACAAGCCAGGATGCTGTTGGCCTTCTGGGCCACCTGGGCACACTGCTGGGTCATATTCAGACAGCTGTCGACCAACACCCCCAGGTCCTTTTCTGCCAGGCAGCTTTCCGGCCACTCTTCCCTAAGCCTGTAGCATTGCATGGGGTTGTTGTGACCCAAATGCAGGACTTGACACTTGTTGAACCTCATACAGTTGGCCTGAGCCCATTGATCCAGCCTGTCCAGATCTTTCTGTAGAGCCTTCCTACCCTCAAGCAGATCAACACTCCCTCCCAGCTTGGTGTTGTCTGCAAACTCACTGAGGATGCACTCCATCCCCTCATCCAGGTCGTTGATAAAGATATTAAACAGAACTGGCCCCAAAACTGAGCCCTGGGGAATACCACTTGTCACTGGCTGACAACTGGATTTAACTCCATTCATCACCACCCTTTAGGCCTGGTCATCCAGCCAGTTTTTTACCAATCAAAGGGTATGCCTGTTCAGATCATGAGCAGCCAGTTTCTCCAGGAGAATGCTGTGGGGAGCTGTGTCAATGTGACAACATGTATTTTTGGATTCAAGATCACAATTACCTTTAAATTCTACTAGACAGTCTGACTCCTGGATTTCCCCAGCCATCCACCCCACTCTCCCCTTTTTATGAGGCATTCGTTCAATCTACTCTGGTAATAATATTTATGCCAAACAATTCAGAAAAGTGCCTTATTACCCAGCTCCCCAGGATTCAAGTCATCTCTGGCTCTTTTTGTGCTCCACCCATGAGGGAGAGCAAGGATACGCAGGATTAGTGTGAATACCAGAATGTCTTCTTTTCTTTCCACAGAGCAACAATAATGCTAAATTGACCATTAATTGCTGGAGCTCCAGTCTTTCAGAATTTCATCTGCAATAGCTATTCATTATAACAACATTACAAACTCACACAAGAGTTTAAAATCTTTCTTACTAACCTGAAGACATCTCTCAAAGACAAAGGTGAAAAAAATATGCCTGCAGGGAAAAATCCTTTTCCGTTCCTAAGTTTGGCAACTGATCATACCTATAACATCTTGAAAACACAGCGTATTTACATTATAGGGCTGGGAAGGCATTCCCCCATCTTTTTCTTTTCACTTAGCTGCTTTGTACAATATTTGAGAGAGAGCATTTTTACCTGGGACAACATAGAAAATATCCAAGGGAAATTGAATTACATTATTATTATTATTATTATTATTATTATTATTATTCACAAGTATTCATGAGAATAGTTGTGCTTGAGCTAAATAGTTGTGTTCAGCTAAAACTCTGCCATAAATAAAAAAGGGAGCTGGGTACAGAGTTATGTCTGAAGTCCTTCCCATCTTGATGATAGCCATCCACACCCTGAATCCTCTTCTGGGAGTGGATGCTTATCAGAGTAAGGCTTAGTCTTTTCAAAACACACACTTGATGTTACTTGTGAATGGGGTAGAAATGGGGAAGGGGTGTCAGCTCAGTCTAACCCCCTTTAGGGTGTGAGGCACAACAGTTATGAAGCCTGCAGGGAAGACCACAAGAAGATGTGTGTCTGTAGCCCGGTGGCTAACTCAGGACCTTCTGGAGGGGATGCGGCACTGATGGGCAAATCCCCAGCTGCACCTAAAGAAGGTGTGCTTTCAAAGGGCAACATAAGAAACTCTTTTTCCGTCTTGTTCAGGTCCTGATGCAACTACAATCATCCTAGTATACGTTGGTCAAGAACTCCAGCTCTGTATTGGTAAAACTTACGTATTTCTAAGACCCATAAAGCTGTGTTTTCCACCTTGCCTATTTAATAGAGAAAAAAGATTAAACCCCCACAAATACTCTGTGGGTTGTTTTCTAATAAAAGAGAAAGAGTTACCCAACAGAGCATAATTTCTAGAAAGGGAATAAGGTGGTGCTTTCTAACAAGGAACTTAAAAGAATTATAGAAAAGAAGAGTTAAAGTTGGAAATTTAAGTTACTGCAGCTTCAGTTCAGATCATTCTTTATAAGCAGTGGGGAGGAGAGGGTGTCAGTTGGTAGGAATTATGGAATGGAAGCCGGGAAAGAACAAAGCAATGAAAAGTTCCATAGGCACATGTGCATACCAGTCATTCCGCTATTAAGAATAAAATTTAAAGCCTTTCTTCTGGCAGCCTTCCCACTGCAAGTGTTTAATTTCTCCTCCCACCTGCTTCTCCTCAGGAATAATGTAATGAACTGAGAAAGACATTTGCATTATTCATATTTGCTATTTAACAAATTCTTGGGTACACGATTCAGAAAAGAAACAGAAAGTAGCATTCTCTATATTCCTATCCTTCTATTAAAAAGTTTCCAACTGGAGATACTTTTTTCACAGTCTTATGCTATTTCCTGCTTTTAGAGCCAGTATTTTAACTCATCAAATCTGGTTTATCATCTTCCTGAGCATGTCTCCTTATTTCAGCCAACAATAATCTTTGAGGCAGAATCTTTCTTTTTTAAATTCTATGTATATGAAATTTCCTACATATCCCTGTCTACCGTAACAGCAATAGCTTAGAAGAATCCCTAGGAAGTCACTTAACTGAAACTCCTCTCATAAATTTAGATCAGCTATCTCTAGTTAAATTACATTTCACAAGGAGTTCCTCACCAAATCCTGCAAAATTGTTTCCCTTTTTCACCCCACAACTCTTGTTAATAGGTCTTTAATTGCTTGCTGTATCTCATGTCTCTTTTGTGAATAATGTTGCCAATTTCCTGTTCTCAGAAGTGAAACAAGTTCTCAGGCTACGGCGTAGCTATATTAAGGAAGATACGGTTATTACAGCACAGCGGTAGAAATGCATGATCAAAAGAGCAGCCATGTTTCACAAAATTTATAACCACAGAATGTGAATGAAAGATAAAATTTAAAAATGGTATTGGTAAAGAATTGTTTGAGGGTCAGACACTGCCACTCCATTTTAAAAGGTACTAACACAGCCTTGGCAGAAGCATTCCTTGCTGGGAAGGGTCGCGCGCTCAGGCACTGTGTACATAAGTTTGCAGGGTTTGTCACGTACAACGCCAGGGAAAATCAGGCTTGACAGTTAGTGGAAATGCATAGGGGCTGGTGTCCCTCACCTTTTCTATCAACATTATTGGCTGCTGCTCTGGCTGTAGCTCAAATTCAAGCAGTTACAAAAGCTTAAGAAAAGCCAAGCTGAGCCCATCTGCTGTTGGACTGAGGTGAAGCATCCTCAGTCTCTCCTGTCCCCTGTCCACCCAGACCAGAGAACAGTAAGCAGCCTTCGGCTTTGCTCCAGAGGCCAGTCTGAATCCATACCTTAGCGTGAACTTGTTTGGAAACAACACAGATGGTAGGCTTGACAGTCTAGGCTTGAAAACAGGCTTCACTCTCCATGTAGCTGACAAGGCAGATACATGGCTGAGGGCTCCTCCAACTGTGGGGGCTATTTGGGGTCCCCACCTCTTGCACTGGAGTGGCATATAATGAGGTTTTGTGGAAGAGTGCCCCGTGCATGGGCTAGAGGGAGGGTGGTTTCCAATGGCCCAGTCCATGACATAAGAAAGCAAATAAAATTGAAAAACTGTGCCTACTTTTCTTAAAATGAATGCCATTCCAACTGCACTTTATGATGATCTGAATGACAAGAAGATGTCTAATTAAAAAGACAGAACATTTGGGGTTTTTCCATTTGGGGCCAAGATTTCTGAGTTCAGTGTTCTCATAAAACTTATTCCGATAGGGACCATTACAAACCACTGTTGCATTTCTATGGAAATTAATATATTAGCATCCATGCTGAAAACAGAAATTCTTGAAAATCTTCCTAACGTGCAAGAGAAATATCCTTCTGAGAAACTGCTGTCACTTTCAAAATACTTCTAGGCCAGCACGAAAACAGTGTCCCTTAATTTCAGCAGCTCAACAAATGCAGGGTAAAAACAGTCTCTTGTACACAGGAAGAACATTAAACAGAGCAGAGAGAAGGTTCAGTGCAATTCACTTCCATTGGTCGAGTCTACAGGGAAAAGATGGCCCTGCCAAATTCAATTTACTTTATTATGCTGGGGAAAATAATGCTTCTTTTAAAAAAAGCCCAGATTCAATTATAACTATAAGCAATTATGTTCCATTTTACAGAAGGTCATGCATACAAGAAAGAGGCACATGGAATTGTTTCAAGAGTTAAATCAGAAATTTCAGACACTGGACAGATTTCGGGATGTACCAAAATCAGGCAGTATGGTAAGTTTTCCTTCTTAGGTATTTAAAATATGATGGATCCTTAACAACAGCAATGAAACAAGAGTCCTCTGAATTCAGTGTATTTCCTGAGAACACCTCACTCTGCACTGCCTTTAGATAGCCTCAGAAATTAGAACAAAAGATAGTTTCAGTAATCTAACCTACGATGAGACTCATTAGATTTTACAACTAGACCATAACTAACTCACTGACATCATTATAGATGACAAAGAATTGAACTGTAGGGAACACATTTCAAATCTATACGTGTCTACCAAGTCCAAAGGACTTTATACAGAGAAAGAAGCTCACTAATGTAATTTAGCCAGTAGGGCTTTTCCTCTATCTAGGCAAGCTGATATTAAATTAGTTACTACAAACAAGTCCAGCTAGATTCACCTATATGTGAGATGGACCAGAAAGCACACAGGGTCTCTGTAATGCTGTGTCTTTTCCATAATAGGTTTATAAATATTTACCATGGGAAATGCAAAAAGTTGATTCTGCTATCATCATAATTCAAATTTATACATACATGCATAACACTGACTACATCTGATAATGAGAGCAAGGAAATAGTTGATTGTGCCTAATTAAAACAGCTAATTTAGTGTGACATATTTGTTAGCAGTAATATTTAGTAATAATTTTATATATAATTCTATAATGTGAAAATTGTATATTAAATGGAACTGAGCTAGAATCATTGTATTCTATAACTTTTTCAGAAGAGCTGCTCTCAGTCATGAAGAAGAGGTATTAAGCAGATGTGAGGCCAATGGATTTACATCATTTACATGATCTTAATCCAGCAGAAATTTGGCCCTGATTCTTTGATGAACCTTTAGCTGTGATACGTGTTATTTTGCACCTAGCTCTTGCTCACTCCCCCTTCTGAGATTTGCTGACATGTGAAGTTTGCATTCACGTCCCTGTTTGAGATTTGCTATCCATGTAAAGCTTGAATTAATTCAAAATCTCAAAGGGAATCTCAGTGGAAGAGTTGTGTTTACTCTGTTTCGCATCTGTGCTATGTTTTTGAAAGGTCTGCTAATAAAAGCTGCCTAGAGGAATGGTCTATCTGTAAGACGGACAGAGTGATCCAGGTACCCAAATATAGGCATCTCCGGCTATTTTAGACAGCCTCAGGAGTCTTAGTCTACAGCACGGTACAGGCATTGATGATGCAGGAGTAAAAGGACACCTCCATCTCTCAGGAAAGATAGTTGGAGATCAGACAGAAAATACAAAAGCATCTAAAACAATGCAAAAATGTTAGGGTTTGGCAACTAAGTCCCACCCAACATGTTACAGCAGAAATCACTAATTAAATTGGTCTTAGTCCATAATGCCTTTTACCCTATAAAACTCAGCATTCAAAAAAAAAAATCACTCTATAGAAAATAACCAGCATTCAGCCTGTTAATCCTAATACATATGAGCTCAGCAGCCTGTAAAGCAAGGTAGCTCTCACAGCATTTTCAACGACCAGGTTTCTGTGGTTCCGTCATGCACCTGCCCCAATTTAAAATCCAGCTGGCAATCTCTGTTTCAAACCACTCCATATTTCAGGCAGCAAGCTCTTCTCAATTACCTTGCCTTCTCTTCTCCCACTTTCCTACACAACCACTATTAAAAAGATGGCTATTGGTACTGGATCACTCAGCCATTCCTCATGTACGTTGGTTCCCATGAAAGAAAGGGCTTAGCTGGCAGCTCAGGTGAGGAGCCTGCCAAAGTGTTGGTTGTTCACAAAGAGTCGCAGCAGTGCTGAACACCTGCCTGCCTGGCTCCCTGCAAAGTCATTTCCACTCTCTGGCTTCTCTGTCCCATAAAAGCACATTAACGGACAGGCTTATAAACAGAAAACACATTATTTCATCCTTGTTTTTAATTCTTCTTTCTTCTCTGGTCTTCAGGAGAACTCAGCACCGAACAAGGCTCCGTGGGACAGTTTCAAAACCACAGGCGACTACCAACACTATACAACGATAAATGTATTAGACACAGAGGCAAAAGATGCTTTAGAACTCAGACCAGCAGAATGGGAGAAGTGTCTGAATTTGCCTTTAGATGTGCAAGAAGGTGACTTTCAAACAGAAGTTTAACAAAAATGAAAAAAAGAAACTGAACGAAACAAAAAACAAAACAAAAATAATTAATTGCACTGACAATAAAGAGACTTTGGGGAATCCTGACGCTCCTGTCTGAACATTGTGACTACTTTATGTCAGGCTCTTCCTGTGCCAAATGTCAGTGGTTTTTTTCGTACAGTATATTCCCACTAGTGCGGCTAGTGGAGAACCAGGTGTACAATTCTTACCATCGTGTGTTGTAAGTACCCGTGGAATGGATTTGTAAGGTAATCTTTATAGATAAACCTCAAGCAACGATTCATGTTGTAACAGCTTCATTTGGTTTAGTTTTCAAAAAACTTCACCATGAAGCACAATGTATATATTTATGCAGTTTTTAAAGTTTATAACAGTCTGTTTGGCCATTACTACACTTTTTACTTTATAATATAAAAGCAAAGGTTTTGTCATTAAATGAATGTCTGTTGAGCTACATTCTTCATTGCTTTAAATGCAATAAAGTAATAATCTCACTTTTATATGAATAATATATTTCACATCTTTATTATTGCAGTTTTCTCTGGAAAGCTCAGAGTAGCTTTCTCTGCTGCAGCTGTGTATAAAATATTTAAAATGTTGTATGGTGTAAATAAACCTTTGTCTACATATCAGTTTCTTAGTGCATTTTATTCTGTATTTGTTTATCTTAAATTTGCATATTTATAAAGTTTTCTTTAAAAACACACATATTGAATATGTATTTGGAGTTTTAATAGTATATTGTTCTAGCTCCTGCAAGGAGTTTCTAAAGTGTATTAGTAGGTTTGTATAGCCATTCTGCATTTTCTTAGGTATTCTTTTGTGACAGTGAACCATGGCAATTGGACTTGTCAGAATACTATTACAATTGTTCTGTTTTATAAGAATTTTTGTCTTGTTGCAGAGAGACAAATAATGGAAAATAAGTTAAGTTTCAATGCACAGCACCCAAAAAAATGTTGATTTTGAATCATTACATCTTGTGCATGGCCTTGTTGCTGTATAACAAGAAGAAAGACTTTAAAGATAAAAAATTCTGAAGTTTTTTAGACCAAAAATTTGAGTGTGTTTCATATTATAAATCAAAAGCATAGCATGATTTATGTTGAAAATACAGTTAAACAATTAGGAATAGAAAGACTAAATCCCCCTTTCTGTGCTTAGAACCAAAAGCAGATCTTCACAACCTCTCTTCATCTACAGCACAGCTGTGGGGAGTGGAGATAGGAGGATATCTCAGATCTTCAGATGCCATATTTCTAGAAAAAAAGTTTCCAAAACTATTTTAGTTCCTGCTGTACGTAATTGAGTATGCTGCAGCTTACTAGCTGAAGAGTTCTTAGAGAGGAAGAAAACATGACCACCAGTCTGTTTAGGAAGAAAAAAAGACTAGAATAGAGGCTTTTCAGTGAGAACTTAACCCAGAACATTGGTAGAAGGAGATCGTCATATGTTGAGAGGAAAGTACTTAGGACTAACCTTAGGACTAGCCTTTTCATGCGGAGTGCAGTCTTCTCTAATCTAATGCTTCAGCATCTAAATCTTTACATAAATAGAAAATAATTAGCTACCAATCTGATATCAAGTCCATTAACTGGTTTAGGAGCCTGGAAGTTACATGATGTAGTACTCAATATTGCAATACATCAGTCAATCAGAACTGGCCCGTTATCAAGAGACTGATGTAGAAGGACGCAGCTGGCAAGGCTGGCTGTGAAGCCTATGAACATCACACCCCTGAGATCAGATAGGGCACCAAAAACCTCTCTTTCTTGTATATCAAATTCTAATCCAGAAGGGGTTTATTTTCCCTTTAGATAAAAGTACAACAGAAATTGCACATTTCATCCAGTATGGTAGGCATCCCTCAAGCAGAGCATGTTTTACAAAATTTCTAATTTTTGAGGCTAACTTAGGCTCCCTGAATCCAGATATAAGCCTTAGCATTCTCTTTGATTGATCCAAGCATAATACAGATCTAGAGCACCTTGGTATTTCAATAACTATAGTGCAGAGATTATTTGCATAAGCTTTATATCACCTAACCCCTGTTCAATAGCTGTCTAGTTACAACTGCAGAAAGCTTAGGGTAGGCTGCAAACTCACCCAGGAAACATGATAAATCAGTCTACACTCAATACATTGCTGACCCAGTTGTGCTGTTATTAATAACCCAGTTGATTCAGATTTAGCATTAACATAAAATCATAGAATCATAGAATTGTTTAGGTTGGAAAAGACCTTTAAGATCATCAAGTCCAACCATTAACCTAACACTGCCATCCCACCACTAAACCATGGCCCTAAGCAAAGGGAGCCTAGGGCTGAAACAGTACCTATACATTGGGGCCCCTCAGTGGCAAAGGTGCCAGAAAAAGCTGCAATCCTCAGTTACTTACAAATCAATCCTCAAATTATTGCCTAAGCTCCTGGGTGTTTATGTACCACACAGCAGTCATGGATGTGCTTTCAGTGTATGATTAGCCTCTTTGTTTAGAGCTTGTGCTGCCCTGCCCAGAAAGTGCTAGCCATTTTTATTTTCCTATATACTTCATATTTAGAAATAGTAAGAACAAGCTGAAATCCAGTGTATTTGCCTACTGATTTAACTGCTTCATATTAAAGCAGGTTCTTTTCTGCAAGCAAGATGTTGTGCATACTCACAGTTTGCTGCTCAGTGTCTCTGAAATGGTGCAAGTCAGACTGAATCCAGCAGGAGAGAATAAACTTGTATGCCCTGGTTTAAATGTTGGTAGAGCGCTGATGAGAGGTTTGGCATTATATCATATGCAAATAAAAATTGAGCCAGAACTCCCTATGTTATACTAGTCACAGAGATGACAGGGGGCTCTGCATTTGCCTGCCAGGGAGGGCTGGTGCCACTTGATGAGCCCCATGCTACCTCACCTGGCCTCCAGCTGCAGTTACAGAAACGTTCAGGTGCTTGAGGGCTCAGCTAACTGGCGTTGCTGCAGCTGACGCTAGAGCATATTGAGGCAGTCGATCTCAGCTTAGAGTTTACCTTGTTCCAATGTAAAATACATATTCCCTAGATGTACACAGAAAAAACAAATACATTTTCTCAACAGTTTAAATACACATTAGTAATCGTATAAGGGCATATGCAGCTCCTCTATCTCTGTCATCCTCTTACATACATACAGAGAGAAATATTTTTTCCTGGCAAGTCAACGCTAAACAAAATATGGCCTGGATTTTTCAGTGAAAGGAAGCAGTGGATACAGGAAATCTGGCTGAGCAGCCATAGATCACTCAGACAGAGTTCAGGATATCCATGATCTCACACCCAAGGCTGTGTAAAGGGCTTTGGTGTTACTGCCATAAAAATGCTAACAAAGTTATTATTTTCTACATGGACTCTTGCCAATGTGATGTTATTTAACCCAGAATCTTCTAAGGAGGCAAACTCTACATTAGTTATGACTGAACTTCAGCTCATACTCTGCAATATCTCTTGGAAAGAAGAAGAACAAGGAAAGAGAGACTAAGTGCTACTACAAGGGATGAGAGGAAGAATAGCCGTGCTGCCATGCTGATGCACCTTTGGAGTGCCATGGGCTTAATGTTGGCATATGTGTAATGCTAATGACTTCTTATAATGAAGATTTAGGACAAAGTTGTGACAAGAGACACAAACAGACAAGAGTCTTTTCCATTTCATTCACTGCTGGGTCTGAATTTCTTCACAGTCAGTGAAACAGTGCTCTTCTCTCGGAAATGGTGACCTGAGATTTCTCCTGTAAGAACATCATTTGTTTCTATGATGCTAAAGCATAAACCACCTGATACTGTTTTACACAGGATTAAACTGAGGTAGTTTCTTTTAGAAACAAAAAGAACCCCAACCAAACAAAAAACCCCAAGCCCCGAGCTGCACCAGGTGAAATGTTCTCTAATGCTTTGGCTTGTCTCCATTTCCCATAGTTGCTAGGCAATGCTGTAGTTAGAGACCAGATTTAACAAAAGGCCTGCTTCCCGCTTAGAAGCAGGCATCCATCTGCCACAGCATCAGTAGTGTGTTTTCCATTGGGTTATGCAAAAGAATATGGAAATCTCTGCTAGCAATCAGCAGATGGAGACATTGTGTATTGACAGTAGACTTTCAGTTCCTCAGGCGTTAGCTCGAGGCTGTGCTCTATCTCTGGATAAGCCACAAGAAGCAGTTTGTATGAGCAAACGCCATTTCCCTCTCTCAGGAAGTGTTATAGGGCTCTCTTGTGCAATCAAGTTGACTCCTGTGTGCCGAGGGAAGTAAACAGAGGTACCCAGTTGAATATGTGTTTGGGGAGCTGCAATTTGTTTTGAGCCAGGTCTCAAACAGTGTAAAGCTGTAATCTTTTCTACTTACTTCTCTAGAAACATCTTTCTCTGCAAGGAAAGCAAAACAGGTCTCACTAAGAAAAATTCAATTGCCGATAAGATAGGCATGACTACTAACCCTAGCACTACCACTGAAATGTTCTGCCCTTAATTACAATTGTAAGGAAGCCAAACAGCCCTCTACCTGGTTTTGACAAAATTGTCTCTTAGATAGGCTGCATTGGACCATTCTGTGGCAATGAGTTACTCAGGTTAACTACACCACAGTACTGCTCCTTTTGTTTGTTCCAAACTAGTTTCATTTTATACCTCATTATTCCTTAAAAGGAACGATTAATAACTTTTACCAACTCAACTTCCTCTCTTGACTGCAGACTTCTGCTATAGGCCCACAGTTACCCCTTTTCAGGAATACAAACACAAGCCCAGTTAGTTCTCATGTGGAAGCCCTTCCCTGATTTCTACCATCCTTGTCTCCTTTACAGTTTTTCCAGGTCTTCTTAAGTTCTTAAATAATTCTCAGTAAATCCTGAACTCATTAGAGCATTCTGTTTGATCCCTGAAAAAAATGGAAAAACTCGGACATGAAGCTTGTAAAATGCCTTTGCATTTAGTAGGAAGAAAACAAAAAAAACCCTTAAAAATACCTGAAT